GTCTCTTGATAAGGTTCATTCTGAGGTCTTTTCGTCCAAATGCCGTTTCAATTGGTTGGCCCCTTAATCTTTCTGACAATTTTCCGTTCTTGTTTTTCTATTTCTCTAACTCTTGAATGACCGTCAATAGCCAATGTTTCAGTGTAAGTTGCCTCTGGAAGAATTGTTGTGTTATAATAATGCCTCAGTTTGGCGCCTCTCGAAAGCCACTTTTTTTTATAGTACGCCCATGTTAGCTTGTAGGCCCTTTGGAGCTTGGTAATTCTCTGTTCATTAGCGATTGTGTTTAAACCTGAGGACTGTATAACTTCTCCGAGGTATTTAAAATGGTCGACTTGCAGAATTTCACCATGTTTTGTGATAAGAGAAGGTTTATTTTTTTGTTTTCTTTCCATCTATTTGGTTTTATCATAAGATATTTGATATATTATATATATATATATATATATATATATATATATATATATATATATATATATATATATATAAACATGTAGATATACCTATAAAATCTTGGGTTCTCACTAATATCATCAATATGAAGCTTGAAATAGTATCGTTGTAACTAATTATGTATGTTAAAATTTTTGTGATGTTATAAATATGAAAAAATAATTATGATTATAATATTGCTTTTATCGAAGGCCATTGACGATTTGCCTCAGTTTAACTTCTGAAAATGGGGAAACCATTGTCAATTGTTTCTCCATTTGTGTGAATTGACGTTAATTCATTAATGAGAAACTGAGCGAAATGTTTTCTATTCAATTTATATTGAACTCTCCTTTACTTCTCCATTAATATAGATGGAATCACTGATTGAAATCTACTATGAAATATTTTAGAAAATCACTAAATTCAAACACAATTGACTAAGCAATAATATCTTGTAATATAATTTGCGGTTCTTCTGTGTGGAAAGGATTACCCACCCTTTGAAATCGAATTTGTTTCCATAATTTTCTCAATTCCCACACAATTAACAAGATACGTCACCTGATGGTCGAATTCATTAGATATCAGTAAAGCACCAGTGGGAACCCTCTTTTTCCCTGGTAACGCTTCATGCGTGACCCACCGGAAATATTCATACATACAGTCGCGATCTGGAGTTTGACGTCCACACCGGAAGTAGATCTTACCATCGTGCCATATGCCACCACGTATATATGGTGATTATGCATGCCTTTTCCCTTTAAAGAGGGTGGACTCCTGGTGTCTTATTGTTTCCAGCACACCTGTTGAGAACTTATAATTTAATTATAGACGGGATGGTTCTACATATGGCTCCTGTGGAAGTCGATTTTTAATCATATCGCTCAAATCTATGCTCAAATTTCGAACTATAAGTTGACCAGCTAAAGAAGAAATGATAATGAAAATTTCGATAACTATGTTCATTGATAGTTTCATAAAATGTTGCAAAAACTGGGTATACATATATAAATAAATATATATATATATATATATATATATATATATATATATATATATATATATATATATATTTTTGACAATATATTCACAAGAACATTATAGCAAAGCTGGCCATGTGAAACATTAACAATACGATGTCTCCATTGTCTTTCTACGGATAAATGTTAGAGAATCTTGAAATCGATGCCTACATTTATTGAAAGCGTAGGCAGTCACTGTTTCGTACTACAAGGTACTTTCGTACAATCAGTCACGCCACGTTCAACAAATGTAAGGCAACGATTTCAATTCTCACATACCCTCTCATCGATTGTAAGACAGAAATATAGAGTAAGTCGTGTGCACATATAATGCATAGATTAATGTACATCTCGAATCGTAGAATCAATGAAAAGCACATCTATATTTAAAGTTTCAAATAAAAAAACTAGACTTGGAGTACGTAGGATATATTAAAATGTGAACGAACATTTCGCAGAAAGATTTAAGGGCCAATAAATAGCAACGGCATTTTCCTCAAAACGAACATAATCAAGAGACAAGCAAAGTTTTATGCAGATGTCTGCTGAATTAAACAGTCCAAACTACCGAAAGAACTGCTCGATATAATAACAAATATTAATTGCGGCACAGCGTGGCTAAAAGAGGTCCGAAAGGATCTACATCACATTCACATCATATAAAAAGTCTTAATAATAGTTTGAGCAAAAAAAATTTCTCTAACAAGGAATGAAATGGAGAGATGAACGAAATAAAGGTCATTATTCCCTCTGATGAAGAAGTGATATCCTAACTAACACAGAGGTGATGGGAGACAAACTAAAACGCTTGATAAAACCATTTAAAAAAACATTTAGTGACAATTGACATATCGATTATAAATTGTTGGCTTGATATTAAATTTTACGCAACTTACATTTATGCACAACTCTTGATAAAGGGACAATAATCCTCGAAACGTTGAGTATTTGATTATATTTATATAGATATATAATTCAAATACTCAACAAAAATATAAGATATACAAAATATTTCAATAACAAATATTTCAGAATATATACAGAAGTATTTCAAGAAAATAATTTTACATTTAACGAATTATTTGGATGATTGAATCACCTCATATTATACCAATTTTCAACTCCTTCTTTCAATTATTCTTGTAAAAATTTATAATATACATGCAAATTCATCTTTATTCAAATGAAAACTGTTTTTTAACTTCTTGAATCAGGATTTCTCTATATAATATCTTTGTTCCCTCTAATTGTGGGAATATATACATTTCAATTTTTTTCAATATTTTTTTGAAAATGGAAGAAATCAACTCATTTTCTTCTGATGCGACATAGAACACAATTACATTCTTCTTCTTCTTCAAATCAACACTTCACTCAATACAGCCACTGAAAAATTTCATAGAGAATTTCATAGATAGATGAAGAGAATGAATAATCATTAACAAATCGATATTTTTTGAAAATAAAGTAGGTACCTATGTGTAGAAAATATCCAATAATGAAGAAGATCGATACTCAATGAATATAAGAATATAAAGTCTAATGAGTCAACTATGTATGTAAGTATAATGAAAATAGAGTAAAAATAAAAATAACAGTATCTTGTTTTTCATTAACAGAAAAAATTTCAATTATTACTGAATTGTCATTCAGATATAATATTGAAATATTTGAGAATAATGATGGAAGAAATTTGAATTTTCAAGGTTTTTCAAATCTCAAACAATTGATAGGAAATATATTTTCATAACTCATTAGAAATTATTTCGTTGTTATTTGAATTTTAAAACGTATACAAAACTTTCTTGATAATGTAACAATAAATGCCACATTAAATTCGTTTTTCATACCAAGCTCCTAAAATCAAGGCTATTTAATTATTCTCAATTTTTGCAGGAGATTTTGCAATATTCTAAAAAAGTGAATATACTAAAACACTGTGGTAGTTGATGAAGAATAAGAAGAAATTTTTCTAAGAGCTACGCCTCTGACCGTGAACAATATTCTATGAATTTTTACCAAAATGTTCATCGAACACAGTGATAATTTATCGAAAAAATTCAAAAATAAATTTTTATTCATCAACTCTATTTCACCCTGAACGTATCCAAGGGACGCCTTTTAGACAATTTGAATTCCATTTGTCTAGTTTGAGGGTTCCCATTATGAACGGACACCCCCTTATAGTTAGTTTCACACTGTGACATCTTCAAACAACCGAAAGTACTGCACGAAGAGGAATAAATGCATCAGCGATAGTGCCATATGGCATTATACGATGTACTTTACTGGAAATTCTCACAACGATTGGCCATCTGTCTCAACGTCGATCGTCTTATCTGCGCTATCAGTTATTTAATATCAACTCATCGTAATTATTAATCCAATGTTGAGGGACATCGTGGGATGCAGGTTAAAAAGAAGGGTGGCATAGGTTTGGTACTTGTATAAAAATATGATATTAGCATTTGATTGGATGTTAAATAATATTCGAGGATAGAATTTTATGATAAGATTCAAAATTAAGTGTGAAACTGTATTTTACACGAAATTTTTCATTTTCAATAACAGTGAAAAATCAGAACTTATCAAATTATAGCTTTGTCAAACCTTTGAAGAAGTTTGAACATTACTATCAAATAATTTCTTCAATTATATCTGTCTGTTGATGATAAGGTTATATCAATGAAAATAAAATACGATTTGGAAATATACGTACAGAATATAAATTAATTTGTAATAAAGTTGATTGAATGTTGCTGAGCTCTTGGTGAAAGATTGTTTAATATATTAAATATAAACACTTGGCTTGGTTTCACAAAATTTATAATAAATACTTTACAATTGTCAAGTATTTTTTATAAAAATATTGAAAATAGGTTAACACCCCGAAAAAATTCTCAAGTATTTATTATAAAGTTTGTGAAACCAAGCCAAGTCATTTTATTTAATATACTTAATTTGTATTCAACTAAAATATTAAAAATTAAGTGATAATAATTTTGTAATCATTAGCATCTTCTTAGCGTATTTAATAAGACCTTAACTTAATGTATACCTACTCCACGGCATCAATTATATAAAATAAAATGCTATATATTAATAATATAAACAATATAGCAATAATTATGAGGCACGGTCAGAATTTTTTATTCTGAAAATTGAATCCCTAGATATAAATTTATTGAATTGTGGAACGCATTTTTTTATTCTTACATAAAACACAATGTTAACAAGTAGATCAATTGTGTTGGTTGAATGTTCCCTGATCTCTTGGTGAAATATCATTTAGTATATTGAATAAAAACATTCATTCGATTTCGTACAATTATAATAATTCTCGATAATTATTTGAGAGTGTCGCCCTTTTTCTGAAGTGAAAATTACATATATTCTCTTGACGAATATTTATATATTTTACAATATTTTTTCTATATCGAGTAAAGGTGTAAAATATAAAAATTCTGCTCTAGATAAGTTAGTTTAAATTCTGAAAATGGGGTATATATGTATATATTATTATTACTATTATTACGATTGTTCTCCATTGTGGCTTAGTCGGTAGAACATCCGACTATTATGCGGTAGAACTCGGGTTCGAGCCCCGCTGAAGGCATGGATGTTTGTGAATCTCCTGATTTAAGTAGTGTAATGAATTATATATGCTGGGTAATGTACCTACTTTGATTACAAGCCAAATGGCCGTTTGAAACCGGCGTTAAACTGTAGTAGGTACTCCATGAGGAGAACGATTGAACTTGAATTCGCAATTACGACTTTAGCTTCATATTTTTTGGCTCCGAAAAACTCTTCATCCTCTCTGAATGCTCTTTTTTCCGTTCATCTGTCCATTTTATTCCAGGTTGATGATTTGATTTTTGCTCAAACTTCACATGTGCGGTTTTATAGCGACCTTATTATATTGATCTGTTGTAGATCTTTTTGGATCTCTTTTAGCCACCCTGTTTCGCATTTACTCTTCGAAATTATATCGAGTAGTTTCTTCGGTATTCTGGACTGTTTCATTCTGTAGACATGTGCATAGAACTTTGTCCTTTGTTTTCTGATTTATTCCGTTATCGTATATGTCTTTGATAAATTTCATCCTGAGGTCTTTTCATCCAAATGCCGTTTCTATTGATTGACCCGTAAATCTTTTTAAGAATTTTTCGTTATTGTTTTTCTATTTCTCTAATTCTTGAAAGACCGTCAATAAACATCATTTCAGATGCGTAGATTACTTCTGGAAGAATAGTTGTGTTATAATGCTCCAATTTGGCGCCTCTCGAAATGCACTTTCTGTTATAGTACCTAAGCCCATGTTAGCTTGTAGGCCCTTTATAGCTTGGCAATTCTCTGTTCATTCGGTTTAAACCTGAGGACTATATAACTTATCCGAGGTATTTAAAATGACCAACTTTCACCGTTGACCAAATTTCACCGTTTTGTGATAAGATATATATATATATATATATATATATATATATATATATATATATATATATATATATATATATATGCATATAGTTTTTTTATATAACTTTTTAAATGATAGAATTAGGACTTAAAAACATCAAAACTCAAAACATTATTCATTAATAACGTTTTTTGGCACGGTATGAAAGCATAGTATATAAAATAGACCTAATATTTATAATTTCTTCTATGATAAAGTCAATGAATATTTATCATTCATTTTCTATGGTAAAAACATGTGTTCAAGATAAGAAATTCACCTTCTTGTGTGTAAACTCTAAAGCTTTCAGGTATAGTCGGAAATCTTATCATTTTATGCAGGTAGTACCTATATACGGGTATATTTTATGCCAATAATGTAGCTCAGACATCAATGTCTTTATAGTTATGAGAAATATTTCTAATATTTGATATTCAACTAGTGGTTGGTGAAGGTAGTCATTTAGATTATTGCAAGATTTTGAATTCAATTTAATTTTTTATTCTAACCATGATGCTATTGTAAATAACTCATTGCAAATTATTCATTTTACTAGGAGTATTTTATAAAGTGGGCATTAAAATTACTATACCCCAAATGTTATGGTAAATTTACATTTTCAATTGAAATTTTCAAACTGAACTTTGTCGCAATAATTCTATTTTTAAGGCATTTTCAATTTATAATCATTTACCAAGTCGATTGTAAGAAGTCGTTAAAGTACTGATGTTGATTCCATTTTTTCTTACAGAGTATTGGTTAGCTTCTTTAATTTCAACATTTGATATAGATGATGTAGATTATAAGCCTTGACATTTTTGAAGTTGATAGCCTAAATTCTGTTTTCTCTTGAAGTTGATTGGTTTTAACATTTATTTTGTTGAGCAAATTAGTTTCCCTTTCTAGTGTTACCTACCTATCTTTAAAAATATTATTAAAAATATTATTAATATTATTCAGCGCGTTCATAATATTAATATGTGTATTCGATACCTAAAATTTCAGACTTTCTTCAGGAGTAAGATATTGATAAGTAGAATAGTATATGTATTAAGAATAACTCACATTTAAAAGGTTAATGCTCAGGTTTTAGAAAGAAATTAAAATTATTCATTATAATTTGAACATGTCTCAGATGTTGCTTTCTGTACCTTTCAGTTAAAATATTCGTTAATTTGTTTTAATACCGAAATTTGCTATAAATCATTCAAATTACAGTTGAAATTTTCGAAGCATAGTTTTAAATATGTGAAATTATATGTATCAAGGATAAATGAGATTAAAAAAAGTAAATTCTAACAGTACCTATTCATAATTATATTACGTTTTCTCATAATTACTTGAAATAGAAATTCTTTAAAACTTTTGTAATATTGAGTTCTTTAAATAAGTTTCATAAACAATCGAATAAATTTCGAAGCGAAAAACGATGAGCGATCGAATTCCTTTTGTAGTCCGTCGAAACTAGAGCAGCTGTCCGTGAGATATGCGGAGGAGCACTTCACCGTCGACGGCCGAGCAACCGATATCCCTCATAAAGAGGAACAGGGGAAGTCGAAGGTGTATGTCGACTGAGCTCGTGCGATCAACAGTTGTGCGAGGCCGCAGGTGCCCTACTCGACCCTCCGTTTCCTTCCACTGCTGCGTGTGAGACTCGATTCTTTACGTTCGTTTTGTTCCAGGTATTGACATGGGCGACTATTCTTAAGTGGGGACTCATATCTGGAGGGGGGACCTGACGACCAATAACGCTTTAACTTATGATGTCATCGGAGGAGGAGACAGAATTTGGTTTGTATACAGATAAGCTCCTGAAGAAATCCAAAAGAACTAGACAGCGTGTGGACGCCGGCGAACCGCGTAACTCTTATTCGTCGATCCCAAATTTCAGTTCGCGACCAACTTTTCTCGGCGGTAGTAATAATTTATACGGCGCAATTTTTACCCAACAGCAACAGTTCGGTCTTTTCGGACCGGGGTTCGCGCCCGCAAAAATGCTCAACGAATTGCTGGGTCGGCAGAAGATCGACTCTGGCGACGGGGAGGACGTCAAGTTCGACTCGGTGATCCGGTGTGACGGTAGTCCGCCTTCGGGAGAGCAGTTGGCCCATCACATGCTCAGGGATATACTGCAGGGTCGAAAACATGACCTCCTCACACTTGAACACGACATGAGGAACGGCCAGGATCATCTCAATAACAATAACAACGATTCCAAAGTCGATTCGGACCGCAACGACGTGGATGCCGGACAGGGAATTAAGGATTGCATCACGGAACCAGCTGACCGAAAATCACAAGAACCGATTCTCGAAGAAGCCATGAACGGTTTGGAAACTGAATCGTTACCATCTCCTAGAGTGGAACCGGCTAGTCCTGCGAGACCTGAAGATGCTAAGAAAGCAAGAGTGGAAAATATTGTGTCAGGAATGCGATCTAGTCCGGCACCACCTCAAGTGAACGGCTGTAAGAAAAGAAAATTGTATCAACCGCAACAACACGATACAAATGCTGATAGATATATAGATGACGACATAGAAGAAGAAACTGAACCTATAAAACAAAAACGAGTAGAGAAAAATCTTCTTAAATCACAATTACGAACTATGCAGGAACAATTGGCAGAGATGCAACAAAAATATGTGCAATTGTGTACGAGGGTTGAACAAGGATCTGAAGAAAGTCAGGAAGTGGAAGAAATTCCAAGTGATAGTGAACAAAGTTTAAAAAGATCGGGACCTCCGTCTCCAGTGGCCACAAGTTCTCCACTAGTGCAACCACCTCCGCCTCCTACGTTAGCACAACAGGTGAGCAAATTAAAAATAAGTCCACCTGGTCCACCTTTTCACAATGGCATGTTACACGAACATTCTCATATGAGTAGTGCTGCAGCTATGTATTTAGGAGTAAGTCATAAATTAATGATGGAACAAGAAGCTCGATTAGCCAAAGAAGCCGCTGCAGCTTCTGAAGCTCAACAACAAAGTATAGCACATCAAAATCAAATACAAATGCAATCCAATAAAAGTGAAGTTATAGCGGAAAGATTGCACATGATGAGAAATATATCTACACCTACTAATCATGATTTAGAAGGATTAGCAGACGCTCTGAAATCTGAAATAACAGCATCACTTTCGAATTTGATTGATTCAATACTATCCAGGTTCGTCCATCAGCGGAGGTGTAAGCAACAAGATGCCGCTAATGCGGCAGAACAATTAAACAAGGATTTATTAATGGCCTCTCAATTGTTAGATAGAAAATCTCCAAGAACGAAGGTCGTCGAACGTCCTCAAGCTCCACCACCACAAGTTCCCACGTCATCAGGACCTCAAATGGTAAATGGCAATGGTTGTCAGCCTTTAGTGCACATGAACAACCACATTATTCCCAAACCAGAACTACATCTACGACCACCTATATTTCAGCCTCCAAAACCTCCAGGTATTAGCCAGGCTCCTCTGTACGGTATGAACCACCCCTTCTGTGTCACTAAACAGGAGAATCCAGAACAGAACGAAGCCCTGAGTTTAGTAGTGACCACTAAGAAAAAGCGACATAAAGTTACGGATACTAGAATAACACCAAGAACGGTAAGCAGAATATTAGGAGGACAAGAGGGTATGGGAATCTCTCCTTCATCGATGGAACATAGTCAGTGTAATTCACCGAGGCCGCCTCCATACCACCACCATCATCAGCCACCCCCGATGCTTCCCGTTTCGCTGCCAACCTCAGTGGCCATTCCAAACCCAGGACTGCACGAATCTCAGGTCTTCTCTCCCTACAGTCCTTTTTTCCATGGGCCCAGCCACGGACACCATATGGCGATGCAGGTAACACCAAAAACATTTATTTTCAAAATAATCCATTATAAATGTCATGATTATATTTCAAAGAAAAAGTTTTGACTATGAGATATTTATCATAAAGTTCTTTCATAGGAATGAGATCATTCAAAATGATAATTACAGGACTGACAGTGATATAATGACACAGAAAATTAAAAACTGTCGAATTAGTTTCTATTGTATTTCGCAATATCTATTCCATTTTGATGTAAATGCTCAATTTTACCGATATATCAATCTTGTATATATTTTTTTGATATCCATAATGATGCATAATGAGTTTTTAATGATTACTAGAAATTAACAGAAAA